GCACAACTAAAGCAAAAAAAAAAAAAAAAGGCAATTGGGTACGAACATTAAGACATTTTGATCAGATCGAGTTGAAAAATATCTATTTACGACTTTAGGACATACTTATATTAGAGAATGAGATTGTATTCCAAGTACACCCTAATAGAATAATATCTCATAAATGAGTAATATGACCTTGTTGGACATGGTCAAATCTATGCTGAGTTTCCAAACTCCTAGAACATCCATCCTTCTAGAAATATCATTTAAAACTGCAATATAATACTGAACATGGATTAAAACGCGGGCGTAAACTAGAACTAAGGAGGATATGAATTTATTTTCGTTTCCCCTGTGTTCATATTTTCATTATTTTTTCCCTGGTTGCCAAAATTATTGACTACATCAGGCTGGTCATTTTGTTTTCCTGGTCTAGTAGGTCAAACTTAGGCTTATCACTCAAACCTGATTCAATCAGTTGGACTCCTAATTTAACCTTTTTACATCAAAATGTTGTGAATCTTATAATACTTAGAAAATATATGATCTTATTTTCAAATGATACCTTTAAGGGTTCAAATTTATTTATTATTTTTTTTATTTTTTTTGGGTGGGGGGCAGTTTTTACATTTTTTACTACTATAATCAATTTTTCAGTATTTGCACTTTAGTCTAGAGAAAACTAATAAATTACAAGATGACTCAAAACTTTTCTGTGTTTTACAAATGTCACAATGTTATATAGAGTTAATTCGAGGTATTATATTTATATGACTACGCTAGTTGGGAGTCTCCATGTAATCATTTAAATAAAGAATACTGGAGTAAACATCGTGAAAAATGCAAGTCTTAAAATTAGTCATTTTATGATTTTCTCTTCATCCATCAACTTTTCTACGTCATTAAAGTCCACTTCTTTGTGCCGATGGAAAATTTTATATATTTATATGAAGTAGACAGCTCGAAACTCTTATTTTTATTGGCGAGTTAAAGCCCAACTTTATCCTTCAAATTTCTCGATTTATCATTTTTCTTGTAGGGATGGTAACAGTTCGGTCAAAACCATAACCGCACAACCAAATTTTTTGTAGGGATGGTAACGGTTCGGTCAGTTCGATTCGTATCTCGGTTCGGTTCGGTTAGGTTAATAACCACGAAAATAAATTATTTTTTATAAGTCCAAACTCCAATCGTCAAATTGAAAAAAACAAATTATGAAAAAAGTCAATAAAAACAAAAACACAATACTAATTCAATTTAACAAACAATATCCCAAATAAAAATGCAAACAATATCCCAACTTTCAAATGCAAAATTCGACTTTAACAAACAATATTATCAACATAGGTCAAGATTCTTACTAGCATAGGTGAATCTTCATTCTTCCGCATAAGTCAAGAGTCAAGACTCAAAGTTGATTCCTTTATAGT